TCCAAAAAATAAATTCCAATTATGAATCCAAGCATGGCAATGCAAATGATGATTTTATCGAAATCGTCGCTTTCAGCCTTTGCAGTACTCAAATGTTAAATGATCCGAAGCGGCTAGCAGGTAATGGTCATCATTTTCGTCCCAGAATTTCAATAGCGCTGTTTTAGTATAATACACAATTGGTTTCTTGATTTCGAAAGTTATCGAAAAACTGGTGCGCCAGTAATTTCGCCATACCCTGTACTATTAAGAGTCAAGTACTGTTTCTTAACAACATGCTTTCAGTGAGCCGTACCACTGGTCGTGTGTTGGTGATGCAACGTGGGGCCACTGCTAAGTTCATGCCAAATGCGTTGGTTTTTCCTGGTGGCGTAGTGACCCCTTCCGATGAGAAACTTGGTCATCCGACCAAAATTGCCGCTTTGAGGGTGAGTGCCTTGAAGAATTTATCTGACATGCGATGTCCCGCTCAGAATGATTGGGTGGATCAGTAAGACAATGTGCAGATTAAAGTATAGCATTCTGTGCAAGTTTTATGCAAACCACTCGCATCAACTACCAACTTAAGGTCTGTCAAAATGACGTGCAGTTCAAAATGAGAGCGAATTACCATGACAACTTTTTGGGAAGCATGGGATGAAACTTCAAAAATTTCACTCAAGAAGTTCAAGTCTACAGGCTGTTTGAAGAAATTCACCAAATTCATGTGCGGTCAAATTGAAATCGAATCGAACCACTTTAGCACCACATTCATGCCCCAAACTATGTCTTACTTATAGTTTCTAAGGGAGGGGAGGGCAGTGGATTAGAAATTTTGCCAATTTTTAGTGTTCTTAACTTCGTCCTTACAAAAAACTCATCATACTTGAGAAATCTTATTATATTCAGTTCACCGCAGCCAGTGAAAGTTGTTAAGCGGCCAGATTGGTATGGGGTTCACCGTACACGCGGAATAACATTCTGTGTCTCCTGCCTCACATGTGCACATCATAGTACCGGACGGGTTCAACACATGTTACCATTGCAGTCAAGCGTATCTATAACGCAAGACGCTGTCGTAATGGTCGTGCATAGGTGTCATAGCATTAACCCCTGTTATGGGTGCCTTTGTTTTCCTCGAACTTGCACTTCAGGAACTTTTCGAAGAGACTGGTCTTCTTCTTGGTCAAAAGGAGTCCGCAGCGAACTCTCGAGAACTGGAAATCATACAAGAAAATACGAGAAAGGATCCGGACCAATTCAAGTTGGTAAGACGAAGTAGTAATTCGAATTTGAAATCTTCCTGAATGATTGGCTTAAAGGCAAAATTCGGTTGATGATCCTTTTACGGTGGCTAGAAGTGCTAGGTACGCAAGTTTAGAAGTCGCGTCCTTCCCTACTTCGGAAAGCCGTTACTTAGACGCTAGGCGCTAAGAACTTTACACACCATCCACCTGCTGCGACAGGCCCTGCCCACCGCTCGTGAACCACGGCTCTCACTCTCGTGACACGCTGCCACACCTGTTGCGACACGCTCCGCCCACCGCTCGATATCTTGTCTGCGTCGCTAACTTGATCTGCTATGCTCTCTCTACTCGTACTTCTCTAGCGCTCTCCGCGCTCACATTATCTCTCATCTCCCTGCCGGCCTTTTGAACTTTTCCGCAACGTAGAGCAAAAGGCTCGTATTTCCTGTGTATTTCACGATTTTTTTTCTTTTTTCTCCACTGGCGGTCCACTTCCTACCCCTACTTTCACATTTGAGTGGAATTACCTCATAATTTAATCCTGAATCTTGCCTTTAAGGGGAGATGCACTTTGCTATCTCAACACTTAACTGTTTAAAATACTCAGCAGCAAAAGGCTTCAAATTTAGGCTTGCTCAACTCCCCCAGTCGATGATTTGATCGAATGGAACACATGGTTGACGCCTTCATCATATAAGCGACGATATATGACATCTTTCTTCATAGTACGGCTAGATGGTAAGTTGTGGGTGCTAAGTGAGTTGGGGGGGGGACCACGCGACGGCGCGGCACTCTGCTCGCCTGGCATGATCGGAAATCCCATAAGCCAGGGGGAGTGTAGGCAGTCTAGAGGGTGGAGGCAGTCACTTGACATGTGTGAGGAGCTAGAATCCTCGAGTTCACACTATCACGCTCGAGAGAGCGCCAGTAGTCGGTGCCGCACGCGACCGCGTGGCCCCCAACTCAACTTATATCGTTAGCACCAAGTCGAAGTAATGTTTGTTGTTGTGATCTTGTGCAGCGAAGAACTTATAGGTGAACCACAAATACGTATGTGCCAACGGGAAATGTCTCATCATTTCTGGATGGCGCCAAAAGACTGTTTAGAGAAGGCCTCTAATGGGGAAGTCATTCTACCGCCTCCACAAGTATACGAATTGACGCGGCTCTCTCAGGTAAAACAACTTGTGCACTTATTTACAAGGTGGCTATCAATAATAATAAATTGCCGGCATAATTCATTTGATCATAGAATTAAACGCCATACATCGCTGGACTAAGCTTTCTTTCTTGTACAGTAAGATATACATGCAGCACGATAAACCGATGTTGCTTGAAAAGCGTCTATGGAAACGAACAAAACTTCATTTTCTTATCGACAGATTTTTATACCACTAAAAAAGGTCCTGAAGTTTTTCTGGGAGAGTGGGAGGTCCAAGCTGCAGGCGTTTCTATACGCAGACTTTCCACTCCGACGGCTCCATAGCGAGCAAATCTCAACGGTTCATATCTAGGCGAGCAAGAAGGCCAGCTTATATATCGAGCATTATTGCCGTCGCTGAAGTACATACTGGGTTTTGTGTGAAATGCGCTAGCACCCTAACTTTCTGAGGAATGCACGATGATGATGACATTGAATATTGTTCAGAGAAGAGGCACATCATACAGATTTGGTACTCTAATACTTACTTTGAGGAGCGTTTTTTTTTTAGGAAAACGGGAGGTTCTTTCAAGATCCTTTTCTTCATGGTCTACTAAATTTGCGAAGTGTTTACTGGCATTTTCTTAGGGGCAATACTTTCATGATCCATCATTGTTGGAGTAGGTGTTGTACTAGGACTTTGTAGGACGATCAATCTCTTAACCAGGTAGACTACTACATCCGCTCTGTTGGGCGACGAGGTGTATCTGGTTTGAAAGAAGATTTTAAATGCGGGGGGCGGTGCGGAGAAACTGTTGAAAAATTTGTTGAGAAAAGCCGGAGACCAAGAAGCATACAAAGTCTCAACAGGATCTCTAGTTTTTACGATGATTTGAAGTTTCAACGACATTATCGTTGGTTCTCTGGAGAGGATCTTTGAATCATGCGCCTATATTTGATATTCGCTGTGTGTACGTCTTGTCTAGGACGCAGTTCGTTTCTCGATTTTTGTTAGCCGTTTTACTGCTGTTCAACTTTTCATTCCCAGACTCCCTGCGAACACCTCGCCAAGTACAGCAACAAAACGCATGTGATGTGTCCTCAGAATGTTAATACTCAAAATTCTTCACTCATTGCTAGTGTGCTACCCGGGGATCACCTCTACATTGGTGAGTTTCAGTAGTAGAATCTGTTTAGAATTTGGTTTAGGTTATTCTTGCAGCTCTTTCCCTTCCCTTTCAGATGAGGACAGCTTCAACCAGCCTTCCCGCACTTTGTCACCAGATGCTGTTCGTGTCGACCCACATAAGCCAACACATCGAGCGGAGTACTTTGCAGAACCTTTGTACGCAAGATGTAGAATATATATGCATAATTTGCCGCCCAAATATTGTGAAGAATTCCACCAATTCATTACGGAATCAAAGAATCTACTGCACTAGTTCCTGGTGGGTTTTGTATGACGTCCCGTCGGGCGTGGAGCCTTGATCTTAGATTTTGATTGGACGACTAATTTTAGTCGATTAGCCTCGCTCAACTGTGATGCAGTCATCTCCTGCCATTTGACGATCCTCGAGTACATTCTGTGGTCGATCGTGAGGTTAGGACTTAATTTTTAAACAAAATTTCATAAAACAAGTCAGGTGGAGGACGACATTGTTCCATGGGCTTAACGGAAACAGAGCCGAAAGGTGAGAAGGTAAAACTGAAGTTGAATAACGCATGCTTTGAATAAGTGTTTTAAATGGTGGATCCTTGTTTAAGTCACTAAATGCTGGACATGTCTCTTTCGATAATTCGCAAGTTTCTAAAAAATAGTTTTCGAGCATACTCCACGCTAATGAATTCTATTCAAAAGGTTTCCAGGTAATAGCCAAGGAGACGCAGTATTGGATAACCACTAGCATTGCTTTTCATGGAAATTATCGTTAAAAATATTTTTATGAACGCTGTTCAACATAAATAAAAGCAGCCAATCCTACCTTCAATTTATCGTATCGAATACTCCTTCAGTTTCCCTGTGCTTTTTGTATATTACTCTTACACTGGAAGCATTATGCAACCGTCTCTATCTCTTCGGCGTTTGAGTTCGTCACCTAGTTCGTTCGCTGGCACTGCGACCAGTCGATCACCTGTTATGTTACCTTACCATGATGGCCTTTTAGAGATTCCTTTAATTCCTGAAAGTTTGCATTCTATAGGCAATCTATTCAATTCTGCGTAATAATTTTTCAAATCACAAGTGCTGTGCATTCATATACAGATGGATGTTTTAACCCTGTCAGCGGATCGGATATTACATCTTTCCACCAGGAATTCAGAAGCATTAGTGTAAAAAAAGAATTGATTGAATTAAGCAGGCATTGAACACACTCAAAACAATGTGCTCTGTATTGGAAGTGCTGCACTATAGACTCGGCTATAAAAATTCTGGTAGCTGAGTACCTAAATCTATTGCATAGCTTCAATTTTGTGATATTCCGAATATTTGTGATAATTTTATCGATTTTCTGCTTATTCTTCCTAATGTGTTCAGTCCACATGAATCTGCTCAATGAAATGTGTGTCTTGTCAACATTCTTCCCATACTATGCTCTTTTTTATTAAGTGAATCGTTAGCAATGACTAACTTCCGGAACATTACTAAAAAGTAGGCTTGATAGCCTATGGTGAGACCTTCGTCCTTGTTATGGCCCTGCAGTCTAAGCTGTTTTAGTTGATCTGTTTGAATTTAAACATTCATATCACACACTATTAGCTGCCTTTAATAAACGGTTTTCAGAAGGATGGGGGTCGGTTTCGATGGGTGCTAAATGAAATTCGTTCGAAATCGATTAGAATTGGGTAACAAATTCCTGATCAAATTTCTTCTTCCTCTGGATTGTTTGGATTTCCTGTCACAGAAATTCCGTCATAGGGTATGGTAGGTTTTTGGGCATTGCACTGGCGTGTATATACCTTGAATACCTTGATGTCCGCTCTTCAAGGGTGATTTCGCCAACCTTGCAGGACGCATCTATGCCATTCGTTTCGATTTCTTGCCATTTGTTGCCATCTCTGTCCAAATAATTTCCTTAAAGGATCACTCCACCTGGCTGGGGGTCTTCCTTGCGGCCTTTTTATTCCGCGGGGATACCAATCGGTCACTCGGGATGTCCAACGGTTATCGCTAAGACGAGCTACATGTCCTGCCCATCGCTTCTTTGAATCGTAGATAGTCTCAATCACATCTTTGACACCGGTTCGCCTTCGAATTTCACGAGTGGCGTGTATATACTCGCATCTGTACACGCAGAACAACAACGGCTTCAGTTGAACCGAAACCATCTGTGGGCATTGTTACGTGGTTTGTTACGAGTTCCTACTAAACCAAATTTGGACACCCGCTGTCTCGTTACATCCGCGCTGGGTTCAAGGTTGTCATCATAACCGAACTCAAAATACTCAGTTGATATCAGCGCTTCTGTGGAGAGAAATTCGTTCGAACGATAAATTTCGTTAAAGAACTGTTTTCATGGACAAAGAGACGTGACGCAATGCCTAGGAAGCGAAGCCTGAGGCTGTGGTACTCGCGCGCATTCGCGCTACCGTGTTCTTCAGACATTTACCACAAGAAATGCGAACTCGGACGAAAGCTCAACGATCAGTGCATGCATGTCTTTGCTTCTGCCTTCACAAGAAGGAGCTTCTCGAGGATTTCGCCTCTAGGGAGGCTAGCATGGTACTTAACCTCAACCATACGCGATGTCGCTAGTAGCTCCTCCACGGCGATGTTGGCTGAGGCTATCAGACGAGAACGCCCGCAACGCGACCATGTTTGTCTTCTTCACGATATGGTGCGCGCATATTGCTACGCGGTCTCGTCAAAAATTACTGAACTTCGATGAATAGTAGCTACCCTATCCCTCTTATTCGCCGGACCCAGCCCTATCCGATTACCATCTGTTTCCTCCTTTCATCTGTCTTCCTTTGCCACCATCAAATTCAAATGTCTGCATTACCGCTGCAACAGCATATTTCTAATCCTGCTAGAGTTACTTCAGACAACCTTCCCCTTCCTAATTATGCTTTAAACCTGCCATTTTATTGTGTGTTGCTGTTAGCATTACAAGTATTTGTGTACAAGTGCAACAATGAATCGGCGCTGGTCAAGAAGTGTCAATTATTTCTAAAATACTTGGCATATATTCAATTTCTTATCAAAAACGTTATATATAATGTTGTGCAAGATCATAAACTTTTTCGGCATAACTAAGAAATTTGGAATTGTTTCGACATAAGCTAAAAACTAAGAAGGTGGGCCAATTTTCAAAGCTTCCTAGTTTCTTAGTTTGTGATCGAATAGCTTCCAAATTTCGCCATAATGATACCTATATGCTCACAAGTAATAAACAATAGCTAGAAGAAAAATTTTCCACGGGAAAAATTCAGGTCCGAAAGGGTTAGGCATCATCTCGCGGTGAGATATTGAATCAGATCACTCAGAACTGAAGCTGAGGTCTCCAACTTTTCCGACTCGCAGAGCAGACATTTTTGAGCTTCAGGAATCTGAACGCTGTGTATCACTGGACGTTTATGGTGGAGCTAATATTTGGATGAGATGATAATATTTGCGGAAGTGCTACGTTCACGTTCGAAAGTACGTACCGTACGTACCGAAGGCGCTAGAAGCCTCCCTGTGCGCAACCCCCCCCCCCCGCAAATCCCGCCTTCAGCTGCTTCGTCGCTATTTTCTGCTTGTCTTTACCTCCCTCTTGTTCGAATTGTTCTCTCCATGACCCCCACTGCCTTGTTGAATCCTCGAACGCCATGAAAGGAGGTGAATTTGTGCGTGAACGTTCCTGAGAAATTTCTCACTCGTATTCGATTGAGTCCTAATTGACAGCGGTAGCCAAAAAATACACTCGTTAACCGAGCTATTAAGCTAGACCAGTGCCAGCGTATCCAATGAATTTCCAAGCGAGTATTCAAGTGACCGTGTCCCAGGTGTCTTTGCTAGCTACTGATTGCTTTTCGATTGTTTCATGTTGATCGTAACATTACAATTTGCTTAAAAGAATATGGAACACTGAGCATCACAACTGAAAGTGGAACATCGCCGTGGCAGTCATCTTCCTTAATCGTAAGTCAGTTTGCTGATAAAAGCTTTTGTTGCGCGCCGAGTCAGATTTTACGATATAAAATGCAGCTCATCAAGCCTCAAGGTAGAGGCGGTCATTGTGCAGGGTTAGGAAAAGCCATGAAAAACCACTTTTTGGTCGTCGATATGCGCTTAGGCATGTCTCATGCTCCAACCTTATCAAATTCTTGAAAAAAGAAGATATATGACACATGAGGCTCAGGAACTCAGTACTTCATAAGCATTGATTTTGGAGTCATCAGAGAAGCACCGCAACCTTCCATCCCACCAGAGTCATCTTTTCCATATTCCTACGGCGACCCAGTTGCCTGGTATGAATTTCTCTATTCTGTAGGTGCGGCAAGTGGTGTAACGGCTAGTTGTCCCGCATACCACGCGCACAGTCTGTTGATCATTTTCCGAGAAGGATTGGTAACGGAAGCTTATCAGTTCTCATCACTTGCTATCACTTTTTTCCACCCAATATCCATATTCATGAAACCCTACGCTTAATGAATGAAGTGTATTAGTGGCGAAAATTCTACATGTGTTACCGGGAACAGTGTAAACGAATGGCAATACATTTGAACTCCGGACCTCCTTATCCAGTTCTCCATCATATTACTACCACTGTCTTCAACGATAGCATTCAAGTCCAGTACCCCCACTGCGCGTGAGTAGCACTATTCTGTCATGTTCTGTTATGAATCAGCTCAGTGGTTTTGACATAATGTCGTTAATTAATTACCCATGTTCAAAAGAAACTTTATGAGTGGCCAGCACTGTTTACACCGTACACATTGTGAACGCACTTACTCTTGCCCTCATGCGTACCAATAAATCTGGTAACAACTCGGTGCTCATTGGGCTCTTGAAAGTATCGTAATTCCGAAGATATCAGCGGCTAGTTTTAATCAGATTTTATTTATATGACTTGAAACGTCGACGAGACAAGCTCTGACATAGTGAGTTAGTGTGAGCCAGGATGTTTAGCATTTGAAATGCACAATTGATGGGGTTGATCCTAACTATAAATTATGCGGGTAAATTGTAAGATTTGCCTCTAAGGGCTGTCTAGAGCTAACGTTGCCTTCTTAAGGGAACTAGTAAAGACGAAATCCTAACATAATTATTCGATGGAAACGAGCAGCGATGAATCGCGAACTGCATGGCATATAGCCGTGTTTTGGAGCTGCGCCTGAGCGTAGTATCACCTGTATCACCTGTCGTCCCGTTGATCATCGATTGCTCGAGCGGGCGCCAGCAACGTCTCCATTCGTCCCTGTCGCGTGCTAGAGTGGTCCAGTGGATCCTCCTTGCTCG